CAAAGTGAGCTCAGGGCCAGCCTGAACTGCATAGTGAGACCTTGTCTCATATAAATATATATATATATACACATATATATATAAAGTAAATAAGATGCACAAGCTTAAATATTGCGTGGTTTCTCTTATATGAGAAATAGAAAGTATAAATAATTTAAGAGCGAAATAAAAGATTTCTTTTGCAGATGGGAATGAGACCTAGAGGTGGGAGGACGGAGAGGAAGGAGAAGGGGAGGGGTAGTAGAAAGGATTAAGCTGTGTGATGTGCGTGTACTGACTTCCCAGGATGCGTGTGATCATTGTGTGCTGCAAACATGGACTAATACATTTTTTGTGTGTCCTTTTTTTTTTGAGACAGGGTCTCGCTATGCAGTTCAGGCTGGCCTTGAGCTCACTTTGTAGCCCAGGCTGGTCTCGAACTCGCAATGATCCTCCCGCCTCAGCCTCCCACGTGCTGGGATTACAGGCGTGCGCCACCACGCCCAGCTAAAATTTTTTTTAAAAAGAATGCATCTTTAGTCTGCAGATGTAGTTTAAGCAGCATGTTTGCGTAGCATGGGTGAGGAGGCCCTGCACCCAAGTGCTTATAATTCAGCAAAGTCTCTGCCCTGTCTCCCTTTGAGAAGCATTTTAAAAACCATACATATCCCTAAGGGTTTGAAACTGACTCCTACCCTGAAGAACCATTCAGTGAAAAGGATTCTAAGAATCTCATTCATGCCTGTCGGAGTGTGAACAAGATAGGACTTAGGCGAGTCAATTGGCCTATCCTAGACCTCAGTTCTGCTCTGCATTCGCACCTCACAGTGTCCTCCGTAATAGCTGCGCTAGATAATAAACGTAAGCGAGCGAGGCGTCTAAGTCCATAAATACACCCGCTGTTAGCAACTGTGCCTACGCTAAGCGCGTCACAATGAGCGGAACTGGACCCTACCTTAGGTACCGAGGGGCTCCCCTCCCTCGCTGCACATTCCTCCCCGCCCATCTGGAACGCCCGCGGGTTCACCGGCAACAGTTCGGAACCGCCGGCTTCGGTGAGGTCCGCGGCGCCGCCGGCCAGGCCGGAGCAGTGTGCGACCCCAGCGCCCGCACTCCCGCCCTCGCCGGGGACCTGCTGAGCCGCTGCGGCTGCTGGGGACGCCGGGAGTCCAGGCTGCAGACAGAGCGGATGGCCGAGGTGGGTGCCAGGGAGGGCACTGTTCGTGGTCCGTCACCCGCAGGACCAGCCACTCGGTCAATATTTATGCATTGAATGAATGAATGAATGACCGTCGTTCCTGGGAGGTTAGCTCTATATTTGAAAGGCCGTGTGGGCTGGGCGTGGTGGCGCACACCTGTAATCCCAGCACTCGGGAGGCTGAGGCAGGAGGATTGTTGCCAGTTCGAGACCGTCCTGGGCTACAAAGTGAGCTCAAGGCCAGCCTGAACTGCATAGCGAGACCCTGTCTCAAAAAGACCAAAAAGGGGCTGGGGATTTAGCTCAGGGGCAAGCATGAGGTGGTGAGTTCGATTCCGGTACCGGGAAAAAAAAAGAAAGGCCATGTGGAATGGCAATGACTAGAAAGCTAAATCCTTCCAAATTCGCTTGTGTTTGTTGTAAGAGGCTCCTGAATCAGATCCTCCTCAGACTTCGATCCTTGATGCTGTGGCTCGCTTTGTTCCCTCTGACTGAACTCCCCATACCCCTTGCCTGCCTCTCCTCCCGTCAAGCCCTGTTTATGCTCGTTATCCCTCTGTAAAGCTGTCTCCAACTCCCCATCCCAGCCATGAGTATCTCGCCCACACACCCACTTGTTATCACACACGCTGTGTCACATTAAGGGGAGTTTCCAATGTTTGTGGCTTAAAAACTGTCACAAAATTCATCCCCAGCCACTAGCCACAGTGACTCGAAGGGTACTAAAAGTGATGCTCTTTGCTTATGCTTTTTGTAAATTCCCAATACACTGACCATTAAAAAAACAGCAACATGGGGCTGGGGATTTAGCTCAGCGGCACAGCACCTGCCTGGCAAGCGCAAGGTCGTGAGTTCAATTCCCGGGGCCAGAAAAAACAACAACAACAAAAAACAGGGCCTGGGATATAGCCCAGCGGCACAAGCGCCTGCATGGCAAGGGCAAGGTGCTGAGTTTGATTCTCAGTACCAACAAATTAAAAAATTTTTAAAAAAATAAAATAAACCTAGAGAGTAACAGGTAAAGGGTTGTCTCCAATTGCTTTCCCCTGGTTATAGAGAATATATGAAAAACGACGATGTGAGGGAAAAATATTCTTGGGATTTAAGTAATTTTTAGAGTTTCACATCTATTGGGGTCATAGTCAGGAAACTGGGTTATTTGTTTATTTATTTGCACCTAAAATGCTCTGGACACAGATTCTGTAAGTGAATTGATGAGTGGATGGGTGGTGGATGGATGGTAAGGGTAGCAGCGAGGTCCAAAGTACTTGTATTTTAACAGTGCGCCCGTCTTAGCACTGAAAGGCCAGCAATTGTTGATCCAGGAATTATTGCCCGGTGTGGCCAGCACTGTCGTATTTTGTTTTTTCCAGGAGAAGTCATAATTCTACGGAATTGTGTGGAATCTTCTGACTTTTAAATGTTGATTACATACTTTTAAAAACATAGTATACATCTGACAAAATACAACTGAAGGTAATCGGCTTAGTTTACAGGGGGTCCTCCTTCTCTAACTTGCTGGGCTACTCTCAGGGTTTCTGATTTAGTAGTTCTGGAGAAGCGAGGACTCCTTCAGGTCATTACATCGTATCTAGAAGGGTCCAGATACTTAGCAGCTGCTAAGAAATCAAGAAAGGCATACAGTGCTGGAGAAATTCCACATAAGGCAAATAGATAAATACATACATACATAAATCGGGAAAGCATGGCTTTGCCCATGTTGCTTTAGCTAGACATTTGCTTTTTTCTTTGTTTTTTTTTTCTTTTTTGGTACTGCGAATCGAACTCAGGACCTTGCACTTGCCAGGCCAGACATTTGATGCATCCTTCAGTTAGACATTTGATGCATCCTTCAAAACACCCTTCCTTGCCCCCTCCTCCCCATCCTCACTGTGGCCCCACATTTTTATGACTTGTAACCCCTCCCCTAGGCTAGTGTAGCCCCAGTGGTCTTTGGTGGGTCTTTTTGCCCAGTAAAGCTTTCTGTGATGATGGAGATGTTTTAAATCTGTGCTGCCCAGGAGGAAACCACTAGCCGCATGTGGCTTTGAGCCCTAGAAATGTAGCTCGTGAGACTAAGGGACGGGACATTTTATTTTAATTAAGCCAAATTCAAATCGCCACGTGTAGCCTGTGGCTTGGTTAGCACACTGGATGACACAGCTCTAGACCACGTCCCTGGCACAGTTCATCTGCTTGAAGCACATTTCCATGACCAGTCCTACGCCTGCTCAAAGAATTTAAATAGCTACAAAGGCCCTGCATTCAGCTGGCTCAACCCAGCATTCAAAACTTTCTGGGAATGGGTTTCAACCTACTTTTTTTTAATCTTAGCATCGACCTTAGTGCCAGCGATACAGCTCAGTGGCACAGGCATCTGCCCGGCAAGCGCAAGGTCCTGAGTTCGGTTCCCGGTACAACAAACAAACAAGAAAACATTGACTTTACTCAGAATTCTTGTATGAGTTGCCTTATATTACCTCTAACTGGGGTCGGGCGTGGTGGCGCACGCCTGTCATCCCAGCACTCCGGGAGGCTGAGGCAGGAGGATCGTTGCAAGTTTGAGACCAGCCTGGGCTACAAAGTGAGCTCAAGGCCAGCTTGAACTGCATAGCAAGATCCTGTCTCAAAAAGACAAAAAAAAAAGCTACCTCTACCTGTATTCTATTCTCTCTCTGAAATACATGTCCCTCCTCCCCGTCCCCACCAAGATGGAGCGCAAATCCTATCTCCCCCGGGAGGCCTCTCCCGTGTCTCCGCGCCGGAGTCGGTAGGCCCACTCTGCAGGCCCAGTGGCATTAGAATGTGGCTTGTTTTGGAATCAGAAAGATTGGCTCGAATTCCGATTCCACTGTTCAATTGTTGCGTGGCTCTGAGGAAACTGGCACACACCCTCTGGCAAAGGTGGGTACGGGGCGGCAATAAGCGTTAGCTCTGGTCTTTCTCACCACTCACAGCACTATGTTTTGGTATTTTTATTCTACTAAATTGAGAGTCTTCGTTCTTTTGTATCCCGAAAGCTCCTAGCATTCCCCTTGGTGCTACACTAAGTTGAAGCAGTAGTCTGCAGTCTGAAAAAAATGAAGGCCACAAGCCCATGTGATAGAAATTTATAAAACCGTGAAAATAAAAAGCAGACACGCTCACCAAATCCTACCCTAGGGGATGGCGGCCACCTCTTGAAATACAAATCTTGTAAATGAATGGAAGACAATACAATGAGATACTCCTTTCTATAAATAAACTAGTGGGATATAATTCCTCCAAAGTATGCAATAACAGAAAATACAAGTAGCTCACTTGTGCTTCAGAAGAACTACAGGAAGCTGGGTTTGGTGGTGCAGGCCTGTAATCCTAGCACTCTGGGAGGCTGAAGCAGGAGGATGACAAGTGTGAGCCTGCCCTGGGCAATTTAGCAATTTATCCAGACCCTGTCTCAGAATAAAGAAGTAAAAAGGGCTGGGGATGTATCTCAGTGCAAAGGCCCTAGGTTCAATCCCCGGTGCCTCAAAAATAAGTAAATAAATAAATAGGAGAGAATTACAGGAACTCTAGGGAGATAGACTTATAGTTTGTGATGGGACGAGATGAGGATAGTTTTATGCTTTTGACATAAGTATCTGATACAGAGGTCGGATACCCGTTGGAGACTATTTTGTCAGATGTATACTATGTTTTTAAAAATAAGTAACAACATTTCAAAGTCAAAAGATTCCACACAGTTCGGTAGAATTATGACTTCTTCTGGGAACAGAAGAGTTCTGGCCACACTGGGCGACAGCTGCTGGAGCTAAGCAAGGTCCTGCGGCCTCTGCCCGTCGCCACCCCTCCCCCGCACGGCCGGGTGTTCACGTGCTGCGGGTTTCACGCCACCGCTGACTGCGTGCTGCTTTCAGAGCAAAATGCCAGATTCCAGACTCTCAGCTTCCCCTAGGATGGAAATTTTTACCATCTCATCGTGATTACCAGGTTAGTTAGGTTGCTGGGAATAAATATACCTCAGCGGCGGAAGTTTATTTGTAAGGTTACTCGGGGAAAGTAAGATTGGCTCAGTATCCCCATGGGTCGGGGAAGAAAAAAGAAAACTATTACTTACATTTTAACACAGTTCTACCTCTTGTATCAAAGACATGAGGCTCAGTGGAATCTTTTTCTTTTCCTGTCCAATGACTCTTTCTTTGCCTCCTTCTGAGGATTTTCCATAAATGTGATATTGCATTGTCACTAAACAAATTCATTGATCACACTGCTACACCCTTATTCAGGTGGTGCTTTTCTGCAGAATTTTGCACTATTTCCCACATTTTATACATCTCCCTAATCTCATTTGAAGTGAGGGGTTCCTCTGCCTTTTTCTCCTCCTCTTCTACAGACAAGATCTCCCCTACAACCTCTTGCTATTGGGAGATCACCCACAGTCTGGAAGAGAGAGAGAGAGAAGGGAACAAGAGAGATAGAAGGACCACTGGTTCAGCTGTGATCACATGACTTTGCCATCACAAACCACTCTATTGCAAGACATTGCTCATTTACCAAATTAAAATTTACTAGAAATGTTTGCTAAGCCAGGTATGGTGGCACACACCTGTAATCCCAGCACTTGGGAGGCTGAGGCAGGAGGATCGTTGTGAGTCTGAGGCCAGCCTAAAGTGCATAGTGAGACTGTGTCTCAAAAAGAAAAAAAAAAAAAAAAAGCAAATATTTGCTCATCTTGCAGAATACTCACAGAGTCGGGTGTGGTGGCTCATGCCTGTAATCCCAGCACTCAGGAGGCTGAAGCAGGAGGATCACTGTGAGATCGAGACCAGTTTAGGCTACATAGTGAGTTCAAGGCCAGCCTGAACTGCAGATCTTATCTCAAAAAAAAAA